CCATTTAAGATATGATTAGAACATGAAGGAAGGTATAGTCTATTCTGGAATTTGACTCTAAAAGACCTGAGTCCAAGCAATGCATCATACGATGAGAGGTCATTAGAACATGACCCATCGGTCTATTATGATAATCGAAGGAAGAAACTTATCTCAAGTTTGTTAAAGAAGGAGTCTCCAATAAAGATCGAGATCGTGACATGAAGATCATGATTGAAAGTCTAACATGAGATAGAGAGCGGGTCCAAGATCGGGCACCGCCTGCAGTCAGGAAGTCTTAGAGTTAGATACTCGTTCGAAGAAACATCAAAGTTACAGTTATTACTTAGGTTGAAGAGATAACGTATGGAGTCATCATGTGAGCCCTGTTTCGTTGATGATTCCGGGACGTAATCATCTTAAGGGGGAGATAATTGTAACGCCCGTAGATCTGGGTTAGTCAATTTAGAGATAATAGGGGTCGAAAACGACTTTTTGACAAAAGATTATTTAGAATAAATAATCTTAACTAAGTTGTAGAATATGTCTCAAGGGTTTCGTACATATAAAGAACGCCGAAATCCGAGTTATAACGAAGAAGTTATGGCCCGTCGAAGTTTTTTGGCAAAACCGGCACGGCACCGGGAGACGTAAATAGTGAATTTACGATAGAGCGACTTTTAGCCTTAGTGATCTAAACAAAAGTTGTAGAATATGTTAAACCGAGAACATCCATAAAAACAACGCCCAAATCTGACTTCGTATGATGAAGTTATGAATTTTCTAAGATTTGGTATAGCAGTGCATGGCCCGAAACTCAAATTTTAGTTCAAGCGGTTTTTGGCCTACGCAACCTAAATGAGAGTTGAATATCTCATTAATAGGAACTCAACGACAAAAAGATAGACGAAAACGGAGTCCGTATGTAGAAGTTATGAATTTTACGCGGACATTTAACAGTGTAGTCACCTTCTACTGTTAAATTTAAGATCAGTCGAGAATTAGCCAACAGAGTCAAAAGGAAAGTTGTAGATCTTATTTTTACCTACGCATGGATATAAAGAACGTCAAAAACGGAGGTCGTATGCGAAAGTTACGGATTTTAGAAGTCGGAAGTGTGTTGTGCGAAAATAGGTGATGTGGCACAATCTTGGCCATTGCTTTCTCCCCAAGGCTTGCCACCATATGGTGACATGTGGCACCAGTTCAGCCATATTTCACCCTATAAATAGAACCTCTCCCACTCTCATTTTCTTCACACCTTTCCCATTCTTTCTTCTCTCTACACTCTCTCTAAACCTCCCAAAAACTCCCCTAGCACTAAAAGAAAGCCCCAGAGCGCTCGACGGCTCCGAGAAGAAGAGCTTTCGGCTCGGAAGTCCTGCCCCTGCAGAGCCCGGCTTCTAGCCAAACCCCCTCGTAGGTAAGATACGCCTACCTAATTTTTAATATAGCTTTTATTTAAATATAGTAACGTTATTAGGACCTTATAATAATTATTTGAGCTATTATTATGGGTTATATAAGTGTTGTTATAATATCTTTTTAACCACTTGCGGTACGGGAAATCCAGTTTGAAGGGCCACCTGGGTTGTTGGATTTTAGAAGTGCTATATGCCAAAATGATCATGCTCTCCGGTGTTTCATGTCTGGCCCCTGTGTGTACATAGTGGGTGAAGAGTATTGTTTTAACGCTTATATAATAGTAATAATAGCAAGACTATTAATTAGTCTCGTTGAACATTAGACTAAACTCTAATGGTAATGATACTAGGTTTCCTCGAGGGAAATTGTTTTAAGACAACGAAGTGTTGTCCGAGTACCGAGTCACCACCGTATCAGGTGAGTGCATAGTTACTTTCATCTTACACATAGATATGAAGTATTTGATATAAATTACGTGTTATGTGTGCATATTATCTGTATACTTGCTATCTATGCTAGAGGAACGATTTTATACAAGTTTTATATGATTTAAACTGTATATGTATTTATATCTACATAATATGTTGGGTAAAACATGTGTAGATAAAATATGAGTTGGATGATGAGTTGAGAGGTGTTATAGACCATGAGGTAAGGGTGAGAGGTGGACGATGTGAGAAGTCTTTTTCCCAAATGATGTCCCCGTCATCTAGCAGAGTATGGATGACAACCATGAACGATTCTAGACAGTCCAGTGGAACACTAGCAGGCTCGCAACATGTAGGTGTTGTGAACGATGTGTTCACCCGGTGTACTCTAAACCCTGGCGATCATGCAGACTTGGTGCCTAAACCTTGGTGATCATGCAGACTTGGTGCCAAAACCGTGGCGACTATGCGGACTTAGTGCCTGTTGTATAAACACTGGCGACTATGCAGACTTTGTGCCTAAACCCTGGCGACTATGCGGACTTAGTGCCTGTTGTATAAACCCTGGCGGCTATGCAGACTTAGTGCCTAAAACCCCCGGTGACGATGGACTTCGTGCCGATTCCTTAGGATGATCCTTAGGAATGAATGAACGAGGAATAGTTGATTCTTAGGGTAGATCCTTAATAGTAAAGAAGATAATGGGGATGGGTAATTGGGTTGATTGTTTGATGTTTAAACATAATAATTATATTATTGTGGGTTGAAAACCCTATGTACTCACCAGGTTTTCCAACCTGACCCTCTCCAGCTTATTTCTATCACATGTGTCGATATGAAGTTACATTGCACTGAGAGATTTAAAAGAGATGTAGATCACTAGTGTAAATGAATGTAAGTTCTGTTTATGCTTATGTTTCTGTATTGACGATGACATCCCTAATGTTTTAAAAATGAATAAAAATACATTTCTTCGGAAATGTTTTTGATAACGTATTTATAATGTTTTACTGGGAACAAATTCCGCAACATTTTTATTAAAAGAAGTACTCTGATTTTTATAAAGCATAAACAAAATCGGTCTTTTCTGGCCGTGAAAATAGGGATTTCACAGTATTTTTTGGAGCATTATATAACATAACACGATTTACCACATCACATCGATCATCTAACCATTGTAAAAGTACAAGAAAGTTACATTTATTATCTGAGTCGTCTGTCTCGTCACGACCATGAAATGTCAATCCTTGACGCAATAAGAATCTAACACAATCAATTGAAGCATTCAAACGAAGGGACAGAGGGCTCGTGGTACCTGCTGCCCACCCTTCCTCCTCTGCTTTGAACGATATTCTTTTTCTTGCAAAGTGATTTGTTTATCAAAAGCAGTAGTTATGGATTGCCTTTGGTTCATCAAATTTTGACACTTTTGGATAGTAATAATATGTGGAGTTCCAGCTTTATGATCATCTAGTCCTGATTTCCTATTCCAAGCTTTAAAACCAGATTTCACAAAATGATCTGATCTACCTTGGTTTGGTATATCGGATTTAAATAGATAACAACATAAACAAAATGCGGAATTATCTTTTATACTATATTTTAACCAATATTTATTGTCATCAAACCAAGATATATTGAATCTTCATTGTTTACCCTCAAAAACACCTTGTGAAAACTTATAGTTTTGAGGTTGGAAAGGTCCTTTTTGCAAGTATGCTCTTCTAATTTCATCTTTTTGATTCACATGATAATATTCCATACCTGGTTGTTCTGTCAGGTCAATAGGTAGTGAACTTAAATCAACTATCATATGTTTATGCTGCTCGTTATCTTCTTCAACTGTATTTTTATCACCATTTTTTAAAATACTTGAATAAAGACATTCTTGATTTTAATTTATGAAACAAACAACAATTCACAAACAACAATCAAATATTCAAACAAATGAACAACAATCCAATAATCAATTGACACTGAAAATTAGAAACAATAAAAAAAGCCTATTTAGAAATTAGAATCATGGAATAATGCAATCAAAAGTAACAATTGAGAAAAAAAAACCACGATATTATTAAAATAGTTGTAATCGGCAGTTAAGTAATTAACAATCCTAAAAGTGGAGCAATTCATGGGATTTGTGAAGATTTTTGATTTGGGAATTGTAAATCACCGATTAACCATTTGTGGTATTAGAATTCCAAAACTAAAAAAATTAATATATTATTCACAATTCAAAAAATGACAAAATTAATAAAATTGAGTAATCGAGTAATATACCTATGGTGGGCAAATGCCAAATGGGTATAATATGAATATATGATCGCCCCTTTGATTGAAGTTTAAGCCTTCATGCGTCTGTGAAAACTCTTCGGCTGTTCGTGAGGCACCTTAACCTTTTTTTTTTTTTTTTTTTTTAAATTTAATTTGTAATGGGCTATGCACATTGGATTATACCCTAAAAACATTGGGCTACTAAAACATAGAACAAATGCTCTAAATATCTAATTTATTATTATATACATTTTTGTCAAAAGTATTTAGATGGTTCACTCATATTTTTTAAGGTATGTCCCACTAATTTATTATATATAACTTGTAATATAAAAAAAAGGTGGGTCAAGCTACCCACCAAATATGTATACCGGGCTATTGAAATCTTAGTGACTTAACCGGAACAAAAAATAACGGTGTCAAAATCGCAAAAAAATAGGGGTGAATTTTGAAATAGATATTTGAAAGACAAAAGATAAAATTTTGAAATACGTAATCAAATAGAAGGGTTATAAATGCATATTATGTAAAAGGTTTGTTGAAATCTAAAAGTAAAATTTGACAAAATAAACAGAATCAAATCACCTCCTCACAGTTCAATTGGAATTTTTTTATCTAGAATATAGAGAAAAAAAAAGGTAAAAGAATCTCACTTTATGTAAGATAGGGAGCGCCGTTGTATTTTTTTCTCGCCATGCATGTTGTTTCCCGAAGTGTTTCTCGCAGGGAATGCTTATCTATCTTTAGTTTATGTTCTAAATTTGGAAGAGGGCAAATTTGCGTCAGTACATTAAGGTGAGTTCATAGATGGATGCGGGTCATACTGGCTATATTTGTGAAGTCTCTTTTTAAATTTAGGTAATTAGTAAGTAAAGGTAGACGACTATGAATCGAATGTGGGGATTTCTGGTGGTTTTGGTTTTCTTCAATGGATGTTTCCTTGACGATGTGCAGAGGCAGACATGCGTCCAAGCTCGGGTACAGGCTTCAAACTTCTGTTTTGGCATAAAGAATTAATGATTTCCTTTTGTTAACGTTGTGGAAACCCAGTATTTTATTATTTCAGATTTCTGCATCCAACAAGCTCAGGGATACTAATGTTCACTCGAGACCAAAAGTTGTAAAAATCGGGTCTGTTTTGGCCTTCGACTCGATTGTAGGCAAAGCTGCAAAAATTGCAGTACAAACTGCAGTAAAAGATGTGAATTCTGATCCAAGTGTTCTTAATGGAACCAAGTTGGAACTAATTATTCATGACTCCGGTTCTAGTGGCTTTGTGAGTATTATAGAGGGTATGGCTTCTAAATATTTTGCCCATGTACTTTTTCGCTAATGTTTCTATTTGTATTGGGATTCATAGACACAAAAGATACCGGAAAATGACTTACGAGGGTTGTGAGGCTAATGAACTTTTGATTTTGTTCATATTTAGTTACATTTTATCCTTGTGACCTTGTGACTGCTACCATAGGTAAAAGGATAATAATATCTTCAACAAGTCGAAAAGTATATATATACAATCATGATCCTTTTTTTTTTTTTTTTTTCTGTAATTGTAGAATTTTGTTTTTATATTTTCATAGATATTTACCGGATAACTAACTAAAATCAACTTCAAAACTTTGTTTTATTAATATGATGAAGAAGTACACGAAATTAGGAGATTTATAACACTTCCATTACGTATAAAATATCCATAACCAAAAAGGCAAATACATGAAATTAGGAATGGCAACAGCATCAAACGGGGCGAAAATAATCCCCCACCCCTGCCCTCTCCCTCGCCCCCGCCCCCGAATTCGCCTGTTTCCTCCTTTGACTCTAAATTCCCGGGTTTCCCTTCCCCCTACTACACCCTCGAATTTCAAAACCACCCCTTATGCCGATCCAGCCCCTGTTCCCCCGAATCCCCTATTAACCGTGTTTGGCCTCAAATCCTCTGTTTAATCTAATTTTCCATACTTTTAACTCGTTAATTTCATTTAGCTTTACATATTAAACTAATTATTCAAATACGGAACATATATTACACAATGACTACTTTAAGCTTAATATTTATTCTTTTAAATAAAATAGTTAAACCGTGGTAAAACTCGCGGGCGAACCCGAAAACATTGTAAAAGTACCCCGATACAGAAATGGGGTAACGCGGGGTAGGGGTCCCAAGGGGGCTTGAGATCGAGTCTGGAAATCAATTCCTAATCCACTGGTGATTATTGTTCATGTCCTCAAATTGTTTTCATTAATTTTGTTCATCTACACATTCAGCAACAATATTTACTTTAAAAGTTCTAACCTTATTTCCATTTGATGCAACAGCTTTGCACTTCATGGCGAGTGAAACTGTGGCGTTAATAGGACCAGAATCATCGGATTTGACTCTTATGATATCCTACATCGTGAAAGAGCTCCAAGTTCCTCTACTATCTTTCAGAGCCACTGACCCTACATTGTCTTCGCTTCAATGTCCGTTCTTTATCCGAACAACTCACAGTGACTTTTTCCAAATGGCCGCCATAGCAGACATAGTCGGGTATTATGGATGGAGACGAGTGATCGCCATTTACATAGACGATGATCATGGTAGGAATGGAATAACTTCATTAGCAGATCAATTCGCATCCAAAAGGGGTAAAATCTCCCACAAAGCGCCTATCAAACCCAATGCTACACGTAAAGACATACAAGATGTTTTGCTTCAGGTTTCGTTCATGGAATCAAAAGTTCTTGTTCTTCACACTAGCACGAACTGGGGATTAGATATACTTGATGTTGCTAAAGATCTTGGTATGATGGAGAGTGGGTACGTTTGGATCACAACCGATTGGCTTTCTACGATCATGGACATAAGCTCGCCATACCCTAGGAAATCTTTTGCTTCTATGCAGGGAGTTATAACATTGCGATCATACATAAAAGATTCAGAACATAAAAGAAAATTTATTACCAAATGGAAAAACTTAACTACGTATGGCGTGAGTACGTATTCTCTGTACGCATACGACACTATTTGGCTCCTTGCTCGTGCTCTTGATGATTTCTTTGATCAGGGTGGAAAACTTTCCTTCTCCAAAGGTCCTAATCAAACGAAGGACTCACAAGGTGGATTACTGAATATCGATTCATTGAGTGTATTTAATGGTGGGAAAATCTTGCTTGAAGACATCTTAAAAGTCAAAATGAACGGATTAACAGGACCAATGGAATTCACTTCCGATAGAATGCTGGTTTTTCCTGCATTTGAAGTTATTAATGTGATGCGTAATGGGTTTAGGAACGTTGGGTATTGGTCAAACTCCTCACGTCTATCCATTTCTCCTCCAAAACCACCCAAAACGAACCAATCTAATTCCACGCAGCTGCTGAATAACGTAATTTGGCCAGGTGAAACAGTTGATAAGCCTCGCGGATGGATGCTTCCACAGAATGGAAAACAAACGAAAATTGGGGTTCCAGTTCGAATCAGTTTTCAGGACATTGTGAAAGAAGTCCAGGGGACTAATAGGTACATGGGATACAGCATCGATGTGTTTGTTGCTGCAATAAACTTGCTACCATATGCTGTTCCATATCAGTTCTATCCGTACGGAGATGGTCGTCAGAACCCTAGTTACACTGATCTCGTGAATTTGGTCAATGCTGGTGTGAGTGCTCTTTTCTTCTTCAATCTTTTGTATTTAAAGCTATTATTTTTTTGGGACTTTACGCTAATGACTGTATAGGTTTATGATGCTGCGGTGGGTGACATTGCCATCATCACTAACAGGACAAGCATGGTGGATTTTACTCAGCCGTATATTGAGTCTGGGTTAGTTGTGGTGACACCGGTGAAGAAGCTAAGCTCTGGAACTTGGGCAATTTTCAAGCCATTCACTGTTGAATTGTGGGGCGTTATTTTGATATCTTTTCTAGTTGTGGGAGCAGTTGTTTGGATTCTAGAACATCGCAGAAACAATGATTTTCGTGGTACTCCTAAACAACAGTTTGGCACAACCCAATGGTAAATGTGTGTGTGTGTGTGTGTGTGTGATTGGTCTACACAAGTCAGCATACGTCCTTCTTTTGATTCTCTTCTCCCACAACCAAGCTGGAAAGATGAACCATGCATACCCCTTGATTAAACACACTTCCAAAAAAGCAAGCTCCCCACTAATATGATCCATTAATGCAAATCATGTTTTGAAACATTATTCAACCGCATTAGCATTTGTATACTGCATACTTTGTTAATTTTTCACTAACAATTTGTGTTTTGTTCCTGTAGGTTTATCTTTTCTACCCTATTTTTCACCCACAGTAAGTAACTCTACATGAAACCAACTAAGGTGTAATTTATTTTTGACTTGATGGATTTAACTTATGAACGGGTGTTTCTATTTTACTTATGCGCTACATGCAAGGAATAACCACCTACTTTTACTTATTTGTTTCTTATAGCATCCTACTTCTATTTCTTATTACATAATTGTACCTTGAAACAAACTCTCCAATGATAGAAACATCATCCAAATACAAAGCAATTTTCATTGTTATACAGTTGGGAGATCTTTTAAAGTACAATGCCCTGATAGAATAAGAAACTAAAAGTGCAATGATATAATTTGGTAAATTTTTCAAAGTACAATGCCTTACATAAGAAAAATATAAAATATAATGTTGTAGCATAACAAATAAAAGGTTGATGTTTTTTATAAAATAAATGAAATTGCCTTGTTGTTTCTTGCATTTAGCCCTTGACTTAAATCTTTTGCAGAAATAATGACTTAAAAGAGAATGCCAAGGAAAAGTGGTTTTTCTGTTAACTCCTATTTTTTTACAAAATTTCCATCATTTATTGTTTTTCATTCCATTTACCCAAGTGTTCCATAATTTTCTCAAATTCTTTTACACGTCATTTATCCAGAAGAACACTTGGGGGGTTTTTGAAAAGCCAATAAGTCAAAAAAATGTTTGATAAACTCAAAAACGTTTTTCAAAATATCTTTTCCATTATCTTCAAAAATGAGACTTTAAAAAGCAATGTAAAACCTTACTTTTTGAAACTCTTCATAACTTTTAAACCACAATAACTTCAAAAAAGTGATTTTAAACCAAACACTTTTGAACTTCTCAATTTATTGGCTTTTGCCACCACAAAAACTAATCCAAACATTTTTTCTAAAAACTTTTACCATAAGTCAATAAGCACTTTTGCCTAAAAACATTTTTAGAGATTAAAAAGCAATCCCAAACACCCTTTTAATTAATGGGGGAAAAGAAGCACATTGGCCTTAATAATCTTTCCTCCTCCCACGAGGGGCATTTTACCCCTTTTGACACACATTTTACTTCCTTTCACGATTTACTTCTATATGTTATGAACTTAACCATGGTTGATGCAGAACAAAACATGAAGAGTACTCTTGGTCGTTTTGGTAGTCATTCTATGGTTATTTGTGGTACTAATAATCAGCCAGAGTTATACCGCAAGTCTCAGCTCAATATTGACTGTTCAAAAACTTTCTTCTCCTATTGATGGAATTGATAGTCTAATACCAAGAAAAGATCGTATTGGATATGGAGCACGTTCATTTGTCCGAGACTATTTAGTCAAAGAAATTGGCATTTCCGAAGCTAGACTTGTTCCTCTTGAGTTGCCAGAAGACTATGAAAAAGCTTTAATCGATGGTCCTAACAATGATGGTGTCATTGCAATTGTTGATGAACGTCCGTATATCGAACTTTTCCTTTCGACCCGTTGCCAGTTCAGCATTGTTGGTCCAGAATTCACCAAAAATGGATGGGGATTTGTAAGTAAAATTCTCATTTTCATGTTATATGATGTGTTTGACTTCTATAGTTAAACCGGATCATTTTTACACTTTAAGTTTCATATGAAGAAGTTGATAGTCCCGAAATCTTTTCTACAAGTTCAATTTCGTAAAAGTAACATATTTATTCATAAATGTTAACTTTCAAATCAGAATTGTTTTATGTTTAATCTCCATAGTCACACCCATGTATGTTTACCCATTTCATTTATTTGTATATTATAGCATCCTAATTTCATTTCTTTCTGTTACATCCCTTTATGTTCATTTTTTTTTTTAATTTGGCTATGTACTATGAAAATTCTATCAAATTATAGTGTTATATTTCCATTTTTTTCTTAAGAATTTAAACTTTGAAAATCTACCCAATTGTAATGGTGGAAGTTGGTTTCTATTTTTATGACATTGGTATAAATAGGTAGATTGTTCAAAATAGGGTCCTTTAATAACTTCAATTTTGATATGAACTAGTTGATTTCCCACCATCAAATATCTCCATTTTTTGACCAATATTAGATTCAAATCATAATTTTTTTGTGTTTATGGTTCTTTATAGGCCTTTCAACAGGATTCTCATCTTGCAACGGATGTATCAAATGCCATTCTCAAACTATCTGAAACCGGAGAGTTACAAAGGATCCACAATAAATGGCTATTACGAAGTGCTTGCAGTTCACAAGGAGCAGAGTTATCAGTAGACAGGTTGGAGCTAAAGAGTTTCAAAGGCCTATTCCTTATAATTGGTTTAGCTTGTGTTCTTTCTCTTCTTGTATACTTAGTGCCCACCATATATCAGTATACTAAACGCAAACCAGACACATCTGTATCATCTGGACCAAGACACATGCAAACGTTCATTTCATCCATTGATGAAAAAGAAGATTTGGTTATTGCCCATTCCAATAAAAGGCTTAGAGGGGCAAGTTCACTTGGGAGCAACAGAGATGACGCATCTGTGAATGCCTATTGAATTTCTGGGAAAGAATCATCTTCAAACACAGTAAATTAGTCAAAACAAGGGCATTTATTTTATATACAATAAATGTGTTCATTCCACCTATGATGATTATAGGCCATGTCGGCGTCCAATTGGCACGAGTCAGGAAAGTTCCTTTCCAATGTATAAGTTGAGTAATTTCAGTAATAATAAACGTTTTATCATTCATATTGTTTATTGATTTAAAGTTCATAATATATATGGTTCGTGCACCATGGTTTGTGACGGTAAACTATAAGCCGTATGAACCTTAACGCCTTGTTCCCCAGTTTTTTTATGTAAATTCATTAAAGGAAAGGGAAGGAAAATTTTGACCGAAAGAAAGGGAGGGGAAGGAAAATATTCGTTATACCGTGTTCCCGAGTTCGAAGGAAATGAAAAGAAATGAAAGGAAAAATTTTAAGTTTTTGTGTTCCCGAGTTAAGAGGAAAAAGAAAATAAAACTTGAAATTTTCCTTCCCCTCACTTCTTCCCAAATCCGCCCAATTTGGGAGGAAAATTTGGAAAGAAAATATGACTCCAAAATCTTTCTCATCCCCTCACTTTCCTTCCATTAATGAAACTCAGGAACACGATTTTCTTTCGACACCCCTCACTTTCCCTCCGTATCCTCCCATTTCCCACCTTAAGTAGAACTCGGGAATGGCAGAGGTTTTGAAATTTTGAGGTTAACATGAAATAAAATTGTCAAAAAAACCCTTAAGTTTACAATTTTTTTTACCCTAAATATATTTTTGAGTAAATTACACGAATGGTCTCTATGGTTTAGGGTAATTTGCGCGTTTGGTCCCTAACTTATTTTTTTAACTCGGAAGATCCCTACTATTTGTTTTTGTTACGCGCTTGGTCCCTGTCTTACCTAAAAGACTATTTTTTTTCTTGATTTTTTTTAATTTATTTAAATAAACACACCCCCAAACCCACCCCCTCACCTTACCATACATACCCCACCATTTTTCTCTATTTAAATAATAATCTTTTTAGGTAAGACAGGGACCAAACGTGTAACAAAAACAAACAGTAGAGACCAAGCGTATAACAAAAACAAACAGTAGACCTTCCGAGTTAAAAAAATAAGTTAGGGACCAAACGCCCAAATTACCCCTAACCATAGGGACCATTCGTGTAATTTACTCTTTATTTTTTTATATTAAAGGTATTAATGCAGAAAAAAAAAGATATTTATACACGAAAAAAATGTTTAATTAAACATTCAATTTATGTTCTTTTTAAATGATATTTCTTTATACGCAAAAACTTTTCCTGTTTATACGATTTGAAATGTAAACATATATTTTTAGAAATATAAATACATATTTAAAAGTATATCAATTAAAAATGTGTTTATATTAAAAAAAAAGTATTAATACTTCTATAAACGTAAAAATACGTATTTATACTTCTATGTCAATACTTCCATAAACATAAAGGTATGTGTGTGTGTGGTATATATATATATATATATATATACACACACACACTAGTGGCGTACCCGCGCGATGCGGCGATGCCAGATAGTTTCAATGATGTTATTTATTTCCTTTTCATGTAAGATAGTTCTTTTCAGTCTTTTGGCAGATTGTTTTGTGTCGAATAGTTCTTTCGACGAATAGTTTCTAGCTAAGCGTGTAGTCGTGGGAGCGAAAAGTTTCCTTTTCGCTATCATCTATTGCTATAATTTTTCATTTATGATTATTTAGTAGGGGCATGCCTAAAGCAAAAATGATATATATATATATATATATATATATATATATATATATATATATATATATATATTATATATATATATATACACACACACACACACGATATGTTTTTTAAAACCAACGACCTTGTGTGGTTATGGGTGTGCAATGTGGCAGTGACAGTTAGTTTCATTTTGAAGAATAATTTACAAGCAACGATTACTCTCTCTTCCTTTTTTAGTAGGGGGGGGGGGGTTAGGGCAAGGGGTATTGTCCGGCCGTTGATTCGTTTCTTTTTTGTGGACAACAAAATGTTTGTCTTTTAGTGAAAACTTCGCTTCCGATTTTCGATTTGAGATCGGTTCATCCAGTTTTTTAGACCAGTTTAATTGGTCGGACCACTTGAACCATTGAACTGGTAAGATGCCCGACCTGATTTTAAAAACTTTGGTAAATATGATTTACAACTATCTGATTCTATTTAGAGTATATACCAACTCTAAAAAATCATCGGACATGAAAATGATAAATAAGAATGCCCCCAAAAGTGATTCTCATGCCACGAAAATATATTTAAAGTTATGTTTATATTAAAATGTATTTATTATATAATATTACTAATTCTAAGTTCCTCTTTAAACAGTTTTATGTTGTTATTGGTGGATTTTTTTTTTCAATGGGGTCCTTTTTTTTAATCTTTTTTTTATCTTTACCTACTGTTTACTATTGACGGCATAACCAACACACGTGTGTTTTCCTTTGTTGATCAGTGGCTTCAAAAATGACACATCATCGGGTTGGACGATACGTGTTGTGCCTCCATTCTTAGTCATTGTGACGCTGCCTCCCCCCACCCAATTACACCGTCAATCGAGTCCAAGATAAACACACACGCACACTTCCAGCTTCCTCCATCATTTCACTACCTCTCTCAGCAAAACACGAAGCCACCGATACTACCTCTGGCGGTCTCTCTCATCTGTCTGCTCTATTTATCATCTCCCTCTCTCTCTCTCTCAAATGCAATTCATGAAGCCACAGTCTGTCCTATCTCTCTGCTCACTCCGACGTACGAAATCAGGTAGCCACCCAACCACCTTCGACGATATTCCTGAGCGCTCTTTTGGTGCTCCGATCTCTACTGCTCTCTTCCCGTTTTTGTCGCCTCCGGTCAAAAGTAACCGTCTCTCTCCCATGTTCCTTAATCTATGTCAAACACACACTCCCATACTCCATTTATGAATTTGTCAACTGAATAAAACCTCAAGTGTCGTTTTCAAATGTCAAAATTGGAATCATTTTCCCCATATAGTCAGATTAGGTTTTCCTTTTTCACAATCCATTCCTACATAGAATCTATAACTCGAACGGACTTTTGCTTATTTGGAATTCCGATTATTTGGAATTAACAATGGGTTCTTGAAGTGTTATTGCAGGATATGAAATTTGGAAGTTGATTTGATTTCTCTTACTTGATGGTTGTGGATTGAACAACTTATAAAGTTGAACCCTATGAGATACATGCCTATAAGGCGTTCAATGAAATGCCAAAGCCAATTAAGGTATTCATTCCACTTTACCTCATTCATTACTTTATTATATTTCATTTGGATTATCATAATTTCAAAATGTTCTTTAATTATTTCATTGAGATTTGTAACTACTTTATATTCTAGGATCTTGCATTTAATCTATCTCTATCTGCATTATTAGGAGACACCATGGGAGGAGAGGTCTGTACATAAGCATGAAAGAAACAAACTTTGGAGGAAAAGAAAGAGACAACGAATAAGTGAAATGCTTGCAAAAGTGATAGTGATTCCTCTAATTTTAATTTCATTTTTTTCCTATTTTTTTATATTCATTTCTTACAAGGAACTCAATAAATTAGAGAAAGATGATCGAGAAAAAGGAGATTGCAAAGCGAAGGATAATATTGGAATTTGAGAGTAATCGTTAACTTAAGATTCAAAATCCAAATCTTAACCTTTATACAGTTATGTCATTATAATCTTAAATAAGTGGTTGAAATTAGAACATTTGTATCAGAATAGGGACATACTTTTGGAAATGAACATGATTAAGCCGAATTACGATGATTTTTTCAGTCGAAGTTGAGTTGATGCGTCATCCAGGAAAACAGGCCGGCAAATTGTTTTATGTGGTTTTTTTTTGTGTTCATCGATATCACCTAATGTGGCTTGCTTATTGTTATTGAACTATGACAGAATAACAAAATAAAGGGGAGATTGGAGTTTTTACTGCAACAAAAATAACCATTTGCTCATTTTGCCAAAAGTAACGCATCTTGAAAAAAGTAAAGAGAAAAATTGTATATCTTGGTGACTTCATTATCCAAGATATATGAGCTGCAGTACCTGCATCTTCATGTGCAGGTAACTATGTTAGTGCTAACTCATTGTTTTTTATTGCTTAGATAATAAACTTTACGCATGAATTTTGATTTTAATACTTATAATACTTGTATTAGGTTAAGGATGTGGAAGACTAATTGGCGAAATTACAGGGAGGGGTCACTTTGTTGAGCCGAAAAGTTGCTGACAAAACTTTTCCAGATGCAATCAGTCATTGGAGAAAAAAGAAACAAAATGTTTAAAGATGTGTGGGATACTATTACTGAACATTCACCCAAAAACCCAAACTAATTCAAGGTTTTGTATCTGTAAAAAGATATAAACAATACCCTTTTATGGTAGATGTAACATCCAGGATTTTTCCAGGTATTATGAGTATTTGCCTTAATTAATTTATGGGTTGTTTTGGTTGGGCTTTGACTTTGGGCCCTTAAGGGTGGGCTGAGGAACCTCGTACGCGAGGCGTACATTGCTATGTACGCTCAGCGTACTCAGGAAAAGGAAACGCGGAAGCCATGCACGTACACCCAACGTGCCAGGAGTACGCCCAACGTACGTATGCAGATCCTTAAACCCTAAAATTAGAGTTTGCTCCCTATATAAAGAACATAACCCCTGTTGGTTCAGCCTCCCTTCACTCTTACCCAGCCACCACGAAAAACCCTAGCTCCCTTTGTGTGCCTTTGTGTTCTAGAAGCCATTTGAGAGTGTTTGTGTGTTGTTTTAATGAGAAAAGAAGAAAGGAGCTTGAAGAAGAAGCAAGGATCCACCAAGAGCTTGTAGATCCAGAGGATTGACACCATTTCTGACTCCTTTGAGGTATCAAGTTCCATACTTGGCAATTGTACGCTTAGATTTGTTTATTTGGGGGTTTTTATGTCCTTTTGACTCCATTGTTGGGAGTGCTTGA